CAGGATGGGATAAGGAGGGTCAGGATGGGATAAGGAGGGTCAGGATGGGATGAGGAGGGTCAGGATGGGATGAGGAGGGTCAGGATGGCATCTCCAGCCCCCTCTCCCCCCAGGCTGACCGGTACCAGCGGCTGAAGGACGAGGTGGTTCGGGCCCAGGTGCAGCTGCAGCTCTTCAAGCTCTTCCACAACGAGGCCGAGATCGAGAAGCTCAACAAGGAACTGGGCACCAAGAACAGGGAGATCGACAAGGACAAGAAGAGGATGGACCGGGTGGAGGACGAGCTCAAGGACCGCAAGAAGGAGCTGGGCAAGATGATGAGGGAGCAGCAGCAGATCGAGAAGGAGATCAAGTGAGGATCCCCCTGGGATCAGGGAGTCAGGGAATGCTGGAATTGGTGGGGTTCAAACGGGGTTGGAGCCCCTCTGGTTCCCACCACGGGCAGGGAGGCTTCGGCAGGGCAGGAGCTCCGAAGCTTCGGGCGATTCCAGCTGGATGATCCCAGTTTTTCCCCAGCCTGTGGAGGGGCTCCCAAATCAGCTTGGAATGCTGGAATGCTTTGGGTTGGAACGGTTCAAGAAGGGGGGGGTTGAAGTCCCATCCGTTCCCAGCCACGGGCAGGGACACCTCCCATACAGACCAGGCGGCTCCAAGGTTTGGAAAACTCCAGCTCGACGATCCCACCTTTTTTTCCGGCCCTCTCCACAGAGGAGGGGCTCTGGAATCTTGGGATTGGGGAGCCCTGGAGTGGTTTGGGCTGGAAACAGCTGAAAAATGGGATTAAAGTCCGACCATGGACCAGGTGGCTCCAAACCTCACCCAACCCCAGCTGGGCAATCCCAGCTTTCCCGTGGCAGAGGAGCTCCGGAATCAATCCCAAACCTCTCGGCTCCTTCTCTGGATCCACGAATTCCGGGAGCACCCGGAAAATCCCTCCCAAAGGAGTGTTTATGGGGTGAATCCCATCGAGGGAGGGGGAAGGAAGGAGGCTCCAAAATCCAGACTCGTTTCCAGGACCGTTTGCTCCCCCCCAAAATCGATCCCAAACCTCTCAGCTCCACCTCTGGATCCGGGAACACCCAGAAATCCCTTTCCACGGCGTCATCCTGGGGGTTTTGTGGGATGAATCCCGTAAAGTGTTGGGTAAATCCCGTCGAGGGGGGGGAGAGAGGACGTGCCGAAACTCCCGACTCGTCTCCGGCAGCTCCCCAAAAAATCCAGGGAGGGGGTTCCGGGAGGGGCCGGCCCGGCCTCATCCGGAGGGGTTTTCCCGCAGGGAGAAGGACTCGGAGCTGAACCAGAAGAGGCCCCAGTACATCAAGGCCAAGGAAAACACGTCCCACAAGATCAAGAAGCTGGAGGCGGCCCGGAAGTCCCTGCAGAACGCCCAGAAACAGTACAAGAAGCGCAAGGCGGACATGGACGAGCTGGAGAAGGAGATGGTGTCCGTGGAG